AGACAGAGACAGACAGAAACAGAGACAGACAGACAGGTACAGAGAGGGTTCATCTTTATTGAACAATATATAAACCAGAATAAAAACAGGTTGAACAGAAGAACAGAATCGTACCAGAGACACTCGGCGGAGTCTCCTGCTGATTGGCTGCTCAAACAGAGCTGGACCAATCACATTGAACTTCTCCAGGTAATCGTCTGGAAGGCGAATGTCAGCCGGTAGAGACAGACGTTTATTAATGTCCTGAAACACAACAGAGACGGGTTATCAGGACGATGCTCAGTGAAGCCGCTAACACAGCCGCGTGTGTGTGTGTGTGTGTGTGTGTGTGTGTGTGTGTGTGTGTGTGTGTGTGTGTGTGTGTGTTACCTCAGTAGAGATCTTCTTGTTCCTCAGTCTCACTGGAACTGGACTTGTCTTAACATCGTCTGAAGACGCTGCATCACTTTCTCCATCTGAACTCATCTTCATATCCTCGTGGACGATCTCTGAAAAAACACACACAGGGTGGTGTCAGTGGGCCGAGCCGGTCCTCCACTAACCAGAAGGTCGGTAGTTTGATGCCCAGCTCCTCTAGTAACTCAAATTCACACATTTCATTTAGTTAAATTAATCAAATTAATTCAAACTGCAGTTCATTAGTTTGTAGTTGGTTGGTTAGCTAAATAGCTAGATAGCTAGTTTATAAGTTTGCTAATTGTGGCGGAGTTAAAACTTCGTCAGTTTGGTTTTAGTTGGTTTGTTATTTCATTAGTCAGTTCATTTTTCAGTTGGTCGGTATGGCAGTCAGTCAGTCAGTCAGTCAGTTAGTCAGTTAATCAACTCAGTCAATTTGTCAGTTAGTTAGTTAGTCAGCACTGACTCTTACCCAGTCTGTTGGTGTGGTTCAGGTACGAGCTCAGGCTTCGTCCGAGGCCTCGAGGTTTCCTCAGCGAGCTGCTGTAGGACTGAAGCAGAGACTGAACTGAAGAAGAAGAAGAAGAGGAGGAGGAAGAACCTCGAACCTTCAGAACAGCAGAAGAAGAACGAAGACACACCTCTGGGGGGGAAGAGAATAAAAAATATTATAAAAAATATTTTTGATTAAAAAATATAAGTATATATATGAAAGGTCCTCCGACCGGCCACAGATCGGTATCTGATGATATTCCCTCTAAATTGTTTGGACGTCGATCTCTTCTTTTGTAACTTAGTTTAGTTATTTGATGAACGAGTGAGGCGTCTCTTCTCGTCACAGTATTGTAAAAACGGGACAGTGTGGTGAGAACGTCAGAGGAATTTATTTTTAAATGTAAGTACGGAGCTCGTGTTAAATAAACAGATTTTCAAGCTTTTTAACCAAACGAAGAAAGTCTATGTCCGTAGCTTTGTTGCCGGGCGACGGCAGGATGAGCTGGTGATGCAAGACCAGGCGGTCTCATGTCGGTTCGGCCGACCCAGACTGAGTGGGTGTTGGAGGATGTAGCCGACTTCGCCTGCGTAGAACGAGTCCTCCCGGGTATGTGTGTGTTACCTGAGTCGCTGTGTGACGTCACTTCCTGGTTGATAGTGTCACTCAATGTCCTTTCCCCTCCAGTGGCCCCTCCCCTCCTCAGAGTGAGTGACAGCTGGCGTTTGATCTTCCTCATCCTCTCCATGAGGGGGGGGCGGGGAGGCAGGGGGGGGCGCGACTCTGAGGGGGCAGCCAGCCTGAGACCACACCTGAACAGGTACACACAGGAAATGAACTCAGGATGCAGCTCAGAATCTGAAGCTGTTCAAAGTACTGATCTGAGCCTCACTGTCACCATGACGACAGATCAGTCACCGTGACAACAGATCAGTCACCATGACAACAGATCTCTCACTGTATCATTATCAGTGTGACAACAGATCTGTAACCTGATGTTAACAGACAGTTTT